GGCGCGGGGAGTCCCGGCGCACAGAGCGCGAAGTACCCGGAGCACGGCAACCCCGCCATCCTACTTATGGGCTCAGCCAACGGTGGGCCCGTGGTCAAAACTGACTCACAGCAGCCCCTCGTCTGGCCCGCCTGGGTCTACTGCACTCGCTACTCGGATCGTCCGTCTTCTGGTGAGTACCCAAACCCGGGCTTCGCTGTGCCTTCCGGTCCCGCCGGTCACCCCAGAACAACAAGCCGCCGCGCTGGGGAGAACAAACCCAGCTTCAGGCGCTCTCCTCTCGCAAGCCCGATTCCTCCTCCTTACCCCGGTGCCAGCCACATCCGAATGTGTCCACATCTGTGATCCTGGCCTCGGAGTCCACCAGCCGGGAAACTACAGTTCCTGGCATGGGAGGTCTGGATCCTTTGATTTTTAAACTCTGAGCCCCTGGGGCCTTCTTTTGTGTTTTACCTTTATTATTCTTAAGAAAGATGTACAATTAGTCATTGATTTTTTTTTTCTTACAAGGAAAGGAGTGTTTTTAAAGCTGGCGGGAAGACAGGCCTAGTGATTTGGGTCTGATTTCCACCAGTCTGGTCCGGTAGAGGAAGGCTTTGACTGGGGAAAGCTTTGACCAGAGAAATAATATTCGCTGCCTGTTCTTACAGACAAAACCACAATCTCGATATATTCTGCAGAGAGTCCATTTACATAGATGGAGACAGATATGGGGAAACACAGGAAGGGAGAAGAAGACATTGCACGCCATCCTCCTCTTTCAGTCAGGTTGTGAGAGAGTCGGATCCGGGTGGGTAGAATCCAGTGAAGGGCAGTTACCAGGAAGGTGCTATGGGGCCTCGGGTTCTTTGGGAGCTGGCAGACAGTGGGAAAGGAGAGAAAGCAGGTCAGGCTCAGGCTTGAAAGCAGGGCCAAGGACAGGAGAGCCGGCCTCTCCCGCAGTTTCTGCTCCGCCTTGCGTTTTCCTTCTTTCATTCTGTCCTTCCGAACATCTGCCATTTAGCAGATTTAGGCCAGCCACGAGCTGGTTTTTCTGGGCTCTTCTTCCACTCTTGTTCGGTGTCCCCTTGCCTTTGGCGAACTCAAGGCCAAGACCTGCCCTGGGACCGATGCTGGGCCCCGGAAAGGAGACCAAGGCCTGCCAGACACACCGGCCCCGGCAGCGCCTTGGAGACCAGTGGGGGCCACTAAGAGAATAGTAGGGGCTCTGGCCCATGATCAGGATTTTAGGAACCCGGGGTCTGCCAGGGGGCCAGGCACAGCGTAGCTACCTTCTCTTCTGGCTGGTCTCTTGCCGCGGTACTACCGCCGGCCGGGCGCGGATCGATGAGCGCTATCAGCCCCCGCCATCTCGAGCCCCGTTATTGACACGTCGGGCTCCCTGAACCTCCGAAAAGCTGCTTTGATTGACTCGCCTGATGGATAGAGTGATTGAGCTGTCAGGCTGTGTGGCTCGGTCTGGCCGGGAGGCTACGATTTTATTACAAGTGTCCGTGCCTCTGCGCAGCACACACATACACAACACTCCAACATGCCCCAGACGCACCACGCGCAGTGGGGCCTTTCTGGGGATGTACACATTTCCTGGGCCATCTCTGCCCGCTTAGCTAATTACTAATCTAAACCCCAGTCCTGCTCTGGAGGGGGCCTTGTCTTTGTTTGTGATGGTTTTCCTTCTCATGGGCCTGAACAGGCAGAGGACCTGATCTTTCTCCTGTTTGGGCAGTTCAGGCAGATGATCCCCAAGCTAGACCCGAGTCACTACAGTCTGCTTAGGCCTGAACTCTTTGTCATAGGACAGCTGGTGATCCCAGACAGTAGCCTGGCCCACGAGCCAGCTGCCCATCTTATCCCTCTGTCGCTATGTTTGGAGATGCTGGCAAAGACCCTTTCTTTCCTGACACTTTTAAAGAGTAACAGGCCTGACAGGGACTTAACTTGTATGCTCCCATAACCAAGACAGGGCCCAGCAAGTCCATGCCAGGAGACCTGAACACAGAAGTCACAGGACACAGGTGTAGGCTGTCCAGGGACAGACCAGAAGATTCAACTTCTGGGTCTCCTTCCATTCTCCAGGGCTGGACACCATAGAAGCCCTCTTTTCAGGCTGTCATTGGAGGGAGACTTTAGTTTTCTGGGAGTTTTCTTACATGGGCTTCTTACCACAGAGTCATAGAGCAGATTGCTCTAGAGATTGTCTGTCACCATCTTTCTGCCCCTGTTTTGCTCATGGACTGGGAAATGGATATGATCTCCTTTGCAAATGGCATCCATGAGCAGAGAAAGCGAGTCTGGCCTATTTCTGTTATTCAGGAGTTTTTGATCCTAAAATTGCATTATACGGGTTCCAAGAAGAGAGGAAGGGACCTTCCTGTGTAGCTGGGTGGAGGAATGGAAAGGGCTCTCTTTTTCTTCTAGGTATTATCCAAGAAGCAAAACAGAGTACCCCCTCCCATGAAGGGCCTCTGCAGTTGAGTGAAGGCCTCTTCTTTCCCTTCAGAGGGAAAGGAGCAGTCAGTCTCCCACCTGCCCTAGAAAGTGTTTCTTTTAGGCCATAGAGAAAGAAGAGGAGGCACAGAACAGACATCAAATTCTTTGGAGCTGGGCAACCTTCTCAGAGCCTCTTCCGTGTCCCCTTATTCTCCCATCAATGGCTACAAGCGCACATTGTCTCATTAGAGGTGCCTCCATGTATATAACTTCTTAAAAAGAAAGGAAGATGAGTTTGCAGGCCGGTCATCCCCCCACCAGAGCCTGTCCTTACTGCCCCAATCCTTTTTACTCCAGGGCTGTGAAAATAGTAGGCCTCTGACCACCATCTGTGGCTAGGCAGTAAGGGGCTTCAAATCTCTGTCTTGGATTCCCGCCTCCTTGGCCAGGAAGTGCTGTGATTTAAGCCTGTCCCCGGTTTCTTCTGTTCTGAATTAGGATGTGGGGTGCACCTACAACCTCGGCTAGTTTTCCTCTCTGGCTCTTTTGCACCGTTTCCCCAGAAAGGTACCCATAGACCTGAGTGGTTCAGCAAAGGGCTCTTCGATGGAGGGATTGGCCAGGCGGGAGGGAGCTGGTGATCCAGCAGGGCCTCCGCGGTCACCCCGGAAGCACAGGGCTAGATCCCGGCTGGGCTTTGCCATTCTCACGGCTTCCTCTGCCCTCTCCCCCCTCCCCTCTGCCCTTCGTCCCCACCCCCACCCGGCCCTCTCCGCCGCTGCAGGTCCGCGCACCAGGAAGCTGAAGAAGAAGAAGAACGAGAAGGAGGACAAGCGGCCGCGGACGGCGTTCACGGCCGAGCAGCTGCAGAGACTCAAGGCGGAGTTCCAGGCGAACCGCTACATCACGGAGCAGCGGCGGCAGACCCTGGCCCAGGAGCTCAGCCTCAACGAGTCCCAGATCAAGATCTGGTTCCAGAACAAGCGTGCCAAGATCAAGAAAGCCACAGGCATTAAGAACGGCCTGGCGCTGCACCTCATGGCCCAGGGACTGTACAACCACTCGACCACCACGGTCCAGGACAAAGACGAGAGCGAGTAGCTGCGGCCGGCCGGGGCCGCGCGGTTCGGGCTGCAGCGCCCGCGCCCCCTCCTGGCACCGCCGCCGCCTCTGCCTCGCGGGCCCAGCGCCTGGGGAGAAATGATCAGCTCAAAGGAGGGAGGGAGCAACAGGGAAGAGAGACAGAGAGACAGACAGACAGAGAGAGATCCTCAGAGTGGACAGCCCCGTTTGAATGAAACATTTTTGAAAAGGGAGAAAGACTCGGACAGGTGCTATCGGAAAAAAAAAAATGATCTATTCTCTATTCACAGTATAAGGGACGAAACTGCCAACTCCTTAAAGCTCTATCTAGCCAAACCGCTTACGACCTTGTATATATTTAATTTCAGGTAAGGAAAACAAATGTGTAGCGATCTCTATTTGCTGGACATTTTTATTAATCTCCTTTATTATTATTGTTATAATTATTATAATTATTATAATTATTTTATCCCCCCCCCGCCTCGCTGTCCCCCTGCCCAGTTTCGTTTTCGTTACTATTTTCTTTTGAATGTTTTTTTTTTTTTTGCTGCCCAGTACCTCCCGCCCCGCATCGCTGGCCCTGGTTTCTCTGGGACTTTTCTTTGTGTGCGTGAGAGTGTGTTTCCTCGCGTGTCTGCCCTTCGCCTCCCCCTCCCCACCTCCCAGGACCCTTCTGTCCGTCTGTCTGTCCTGCCCCCCTTATGTTTGCCGGAGACTCGTTGAGAAATACGACCCCCACAGACTGCGAGACTGAACCGCCGCTACAAGCCAAAGATTTTATTATGTTCAGAAACCTGTAGTCTGAAATAAAGTGTACACTGTGCTCACGAGCCCCTGGCGGCCCTCCTCTTTGCGGGCTCGGGAAAGGCGTGGGTCCCCGGGCACGCAGCTGCCCCGGCGGCGCCACCGCGTGCACTCCAGGGGTAGAGCCCCGGCGTCGCCGGCCAGGCCTAGCGATCTCCGCGCAACGAATTCGGGGGTCAAAGGAGGAGTGCGGTGGAAGAATCGGCTCGGATTTGGGTTTGGCACTGCGATCAAGGGAACCCAAAGGCCAAAAGCCGAGCCCACGCTCGGGAAACACGGTCTGCGGCCCAGCCGGCTGTGGTCCGGTTCAACCTGCTCCTTGTGCCAGCCTGTACCTTTTCTTTCCCAGTTTCTTTCTCTCTCTCTTTTCTTTATTATTATTATTTAAAAAAATCTTCTCCCCTTCCCCCGATGGGTTTTTTGCTAGAGATTTTTTTTTTTTTCCTCCAAAGGCAGAAGGCCTTCCCAGGGCAGGCAGAGCTGAGGGGCTGCCTCTCAAGCTGAGCGACCTGTTTGGGAGAGGGATGCTTCTGCTGGTCCTCTCTGCAACCTGGACTTTGTCCCTCTTCGTTTTGGGGGAGTGATTCCGCTTACAAGCGGTGGGTCTGGGGTTGGGGAGCACAGGGAGAATCAATGGGCTTGGATCCTAAGGTCCCACAAAGCAGGGTGGGGGCGGTGCTTGGGAGGGTGGAGAAGGAGGCCCGAATGCTGGGAAAGCCATGAGGGATGGCCACCGCTGGCCCTACGCTGGGCCCTGAACCCAGGTCTGCCTAGTCCTCACACTAAACCTTACTTCTTCACTGATGGGGGTGCACTGTATACAAGCCCCAGTTCCATCAGGACCCCCGGATATCCCAGAGAGAGAAATATCTGTATTCTTGCCATTGAACCTGGGTCGAGTCCTTCCAGGATAGGCATTGCTCCGGTCACAATACACACATTTAAGACTTAGTAGGAGGAGAGGAGGTCCCTCTTTAGAAGGTATTATCTCTCCTTTGTCCAGTTTTTTTTTTTAATTATCATGAATTCTGCTTTGGTCTTTTTTCCCTCTTGTGCAATATGTATGCATGTGCCTGAATACATGTATGTAGGTGAGTAGGTAGGTAGCTGTCCATACCCTTGTGTGCACATGTAATGTGCAGATATTGGTGTATCTAAGTTCCTACCAATTTCATCTGTATTACTATATGTGTGCATATTGTATAACTGGGTGTTCATTTCTCTGTGATTAGATGCATAATTGGGCATTTGTGAGTTCACAGTGTGTGTAATGCATTCATTTGTGTTTGCAAGTTTGGAATGTGTTTTGCAGGTGTGTTTTTTGAGGTTTGTGCATGTGTGGGAACCCTGTTCTCTGTGCTGTCTTCCCTTGGGTTTATTTTCTGTTGTTTTTGCAGAATTGATTTTGTGGGAAATGAGAATGGCCAATAATTCCACCTTTTTTCTTGAAAAATTCCATTTATTTAGTCCAATGTCCATCTAACTCCTGGCCAGAGATATGACAGTGCTAGGTCCCATACCCAGGAAGACAAGACTCCCTCCAAATCCCTGCAAAGGATTTAGGAACTTGGGGCTTGGTGGGTAGGAGTGGAGTTGGGGTGAACATTTGACATTGTGATGGGACCCCAATTTTATAATAGTGTTTTCCTTCCTTTCACCTCACTGTGTTGTCTTAAGTAACTCCTGCACATAATAGGTGCCCTTTCTGGTGGCTGGAAGCATATGCTTTGCTTTCTTTGGGGGCTGGGGTTCAGTGTACCTATCCTCTAACCCAGGACTTTGGGATGATCTTGGTGCTGTCTTCTCTCTGGGCATAGCCTGGTGTGGTAGGGGTGCTCAGCTCTACAAATAACCTTATCATATTGAATGTCTGGGAACTGGTCTGCCCTCCTTTCTCTTCCCCACTGTGGCCCATTAGGTTACCTAAGTCCCCTGTGACCACCAAGTTCAGGGCTGGGACAGAGATGACACAGAGACAATGTGAGCAGCAACTTCAGGAAACATTCCATTCTTTGGGTTTCCTTTTCATCTCTTTCAAGAGATCAAAGCCAAGAGCTCTTCCTCAACCCCAAGAACCCAGTGGGATAGGAGGAGGTGGGTTACCCCACCCCATGATTATGTTAGTACAGCTTATGGTCCGGAGTGTCATTATCATGTAATTTGATTTCTTGCCCATTATCTCCTTTTATCTTCCAATCGCTGTGGACATTTTCTTCCTCGTCCAGTGGAAGAAACTGAAGCTCTCAGGACTCGCATGTCTCCTTGTGCCTGTGCCTCTTTAGGTCACTTATACCACAATAGTCTGCCCAAGGCTCTAAAAGTCACCACCCAGAATGACTTTCTACATTCTTGCCCTCCCCCTTTTCGAATATTCCTTTTCCCTGGTTAGGGTAGAGAAGTGGGGGAGGAATCTGGTCAGACCTTTTACTTGCACCCCATTTCAAAAAAAAAAAAAAAACGAAAGTAATAATGATCATAAACGGGCATTGATTTCTCTGATTTATGGGCTGGCTTAGGGAACCGCCTGTGTATTAAAGTCTGGGGCTGCATGGAGATAAATACTTGAGCACACCATTCCAACTTCCTCATTTTCTGCCTTTCCTTCTTCTTCTTTTTTTTTTTACCCCCCTTAAAGATTGGATTGAACCATAAACTTAAATCTTCCTCAACCTAAGAGGAAATACATGCTAGCCGGAGTCTAAACAGTATCGATCCCGGGCTCTTTCTGAGGGCAAAGGTCTCTGTTTTCTCCCTGGAAACTCCTTCTCCTTCAGTAGGGTGTGTATGTGTGAAGCAGGGGATGTGGATGTGGATGAGGGAAGGAGAACGTGATGTAGAAGGAGAGGGCATTTTGGTATTTGGGTGTATGTGACTGCTTCTTAAGTCTGTGTGTGCTCCTGTGTTCACAGAGTGGACCATGTGGGTCAGTTTATATAGGGGTAGTATTGATGTATTATTTATTTAGGCGTGGGAGGTGGCAGTGTGTGCCTTGGGGTTATGTGGATCCTGACCAATGGTGATTGGTGTTTGTGGGTGTGTGTGTGTACCCAGGTTGGAGACCCCATAGATGAAGCTGCCCAGAGATCAATGGCTATCCTGCCTTCTCCCTGGCCACCACAGCCCTGTCTGTTATCTATGGCAGGTCTTCCAGACTGCCTACCTGGGCAGTCTCTGTGCTCCCTTTCCCCACTGCCCTCAGTGAAAGTGGCCTGTCCATCTTTTCATGCAGATCAAGGTGTCTGCTGTGGCTTCTCTGGTGACCATCAATTCCTCCAGGGTTTCTTTTTGTGCTCAAGAAAAGCCATTCCTCTGGCAATAGAGGCAGCACACTCCCCTCTCCCACCATGCAGGCACAGCCCGAACACGGCAAGTGGGCAAGAGGGGCAGGGAGGCCATCCATCCAGCAGTCCTCCCCTGGTTTTGCCACACAGCCTGGGCCCACTTAAGCTAGATGTCACCGTGCATTCAAACTGAAGCCTGTGTTCACCCGCTCCTGGGGGAGAAGGGCACTGTATCTTTCCATCCCTCTTAGCTCCACTAGAGGCTCCAGCTATCTCCTCCCACTCTGGACTCAGATGAGGTTGTTGCTCTTACATGGTGACTTGTAGAAAGAGGGATGGCTGGGGACTCTGCAGGCCCCCACCTTACCTTCCCCAAATGCATTAGACCAGAGGTTTAATGCAATCCCAGTGTTGGAGCACCTTGTCCTCAGGGGAATTCCTGAATAAAAAAAGGTTTCATTTTATGGGCTGGGAAAAATACTCTGAGAGGGAAAGTGTCTCATTTAAAAGCACACAGCATATTTGAATGAGAAGACTCCCTGCCAGTTCAGGGCTATCAAGTGGGCATGACATATATATGAAGAGACTTCCACACGTACAAATGCACAAGCATGCACACACCCCTAGGCACACGTGTGCACAGGGAAAATGTGTATATCTGCAAATACAAATGGGCTCATGTTCAGAGGTGTGTTCACAGCACACATACGTGGGCCAGGAATGTGTATACTGGTGTCTCATACCTGTATGGCCCAATTGGTGTGCTTTCATTCCTGGCCAAAGGAGCGGGCAGGACCTCATTCCCAGGGCCCAGGACAAACTGGTCTATCCCCTCCTCTCCGTAGAGGACACCAGAGAGAACTGGGGTTGAGGCAGGTGGATCAATGGTGTAGAAACAAAGACAACTGGAGTCAGGGCAGACAGGGGAGAGGACAAGTAGCTGCTTCCCTCTCCCAGGGGGTACCTGAGTTCTGGTGACTGGGCTCAGACACAGATCCACACCTACCAGCCTCTCTCTTCAGTCCATGCATCTTGTGCCTGCCTGGCTGGACCTCTTGGGGGTGGGGCAAGCCCAGGGCAGGCGGGGCGAACTTCCTAAACAGATTTCTCCAGAGCTTGGTAAGTCATGGGTCACTGCCATTTGCTCCTGAGTTTGCTTCTGCATTCAGCATTTCCTAGCTGAGGTGCCACCGTCCTGCACACTGCAGTTCTCCCCACAGACATGGGAATGGGTCATTTTGAGGATATTTGGGAAGATTTCAGTCCAAAGGAATGGAAGACTTTCATATAGGTGACTGCAAAAGCAGAGATTTACCACCATGTGGGGCAGGCACATCTTACCCTTGGACAGGATTCTTATCAACAGCTCCTGATTCAGCCTTGGCCGTGCAGATGGGGTGAAGTACCAGGAAGCTGACTGTTGAGGGATGG